ATTCAAGCGAAGCTGATAGCGCTGGTCGAAACTACAATCTTGAGAAGACTATGCTCGATCACCCGGTCAACCCACTATTATATCCTGAGGCTATAACTTAGTCCCTGTCCGTTTCACAGTGTACCTATTATAGAGCATTGCTATATATCGAGTGTTCAAGTTATATTGCGCAATCTGTCGAATCCAGTCCGGAGAGAAAAACCTCATAATTATTTCACAGTTGCACAAATTAAAGTTTAAGTACAAGTTCGAATGATCAAACATTTAACGCGCTCTGAGAATTGGATCTCAAAGGAAATGGTTTTAATTTTTAACTCTCTCAGAGAGTTGGAAAGAAAAATTATATTTATTTATTGCCAAGAATTTCGATTAAATTAGTCGCGCCGCAAGGCGCTACGCAAAAATTCGAGTTGAACTCGCGGTTCAAAACTATCGATTTGTAAAATTTAATTTGCGCGCGCGCGCAATTGTATTGTTTAATATTCTCAACAGCATATCCGAGAGAGAGAGAGAGAGAGAGTCGAAACGCGTGTTTGCGCGCGACTGACGAGACGAGAGCTCGATACACGTGCGAATATTTCGTCACGTGGGAAGTAAGAGGGTTAATGTCTGCGGCGCGTATTACATGTAAACCGGGCGCAACGAGCTCGGAGAGAGGCGTCGTTATCTCCGCATCGTGACGATTCAAGCCTTCCGGCGTAGCTGCGGCTGTTATCCGTCATCTTAATGCATAGCCGGAACACCGAACGACGCACCACCGGCTTATAAACGGCGCGATTATTCCGCCCTGTCCCACCCCCATCGATCCTCCTCCGGCTTTCCCTCCTTTGCCCAACACCGTCCCCGCGTAAGCAATGTCGGCCACGGACCGGTCCGCGTGGTCTCTATAAATGCACCGATTTGAATTTCATGTTGGCCGAGCCCGGAGCACGGGGATGAATAGTTTTCAATACCTTTCCTCTCTTGTCGATCCTTCGCGATTCCACTCTACACCGCGAGTATAAATCTTCTTTCGTTCGCAGATGCCGTTTTTCGAATTTATAATGATGTGCTTATGAGCGCGTCCGATAAAAAAAGAAGAAGAACTGAAATGTCAATATATTTATTACGTGATTTTTTGTATTCTTTTTATTTTTACTCAAAATATAAAAAAACATATTCTTTAAACGAAAAGTTCTTGTTTGCTAGAAAGACGGTTGTGTCGAGACGCGAAGAAGAAACGCTATGATGAAACGCAAACCGAGCTGTTTCAAATGTTGCGATAGACAATTGCACGAGCCAAATAACTAGAGCCTATATCGTACCTTCGAAATTAATTAAACAACCAACAATTAATTCACGATTGATAGAATGTAATTCAAGCGTTACGGAAGCCGCACAGCGCGAAACTGCGAATATATATATATTCAATTGCAATCGCAGAGCGGGGCATCGCGTTTGTAAAAGGATTGTTATGGTGCTGATGTGCATTAATTGGCCAGAAAGATGGGATATACGTAAATGATGTTGTTTGACAAAAGTACTCTATGTGCAAACGTGTGCGCGCGCGCGCGCGCGCGTTAATTTGTGCGCCAAACGATAATCTACAATTAAATGAAAACGTACTCGGCGTTAAATAAAATATTGTTGCTCGAATATCGTTTCCTCCTCCGGTTTACGCGAGAGATGAAAAGAGCGACGATCGATATTTAATGCTAAAAGGGGCACAATATAACCACAAATAATCATAATACTAATGTACCTATACTACATACTCGAGATATATGTGTGTATATATATATATATATGACGCGTAATATTCGTTTAACATGAAAATAAACACGTAAACGAGCGTGCCCGAAATATATCAAGCTTATGTATGCGGTTTTCGTATACGCGCACATATATACGTATCTTATATACAACCTGCGGTCATCTTTATGAGCTTCCAAGCAAAGTAAATTGTGTAATAATAATACACACGTTTCATAAGTGAAATTCATTCATATATTTGATGATTTATTTGTATCACACATACGTACAATGTATGTAACGATTTATATATGCATGTATGTCTACTTGTTTTCATTAATATAAAATGTTCCGTAGTTAATGTAACGGCATTAATAAAGGGAAATAAACGGAAAATGTCAAGTGCTTTACGCGCCGCCGGCAGCTTGTCGAAAGCGTCTCGTCAAAATTTTTTCAGTAATTATAATTTGTTGCGCACAGACCTCTCTTTCACTCTGGCGCGTAACAAGTGGCATTTAATGTAAGCAAAATAACAGGCAATAACTTTCATATTACACAGTTCACAAAGCTGACGCCTCGTTGTATGAAGTGCAATGGCACTTTTTTTTATAACTCTCTCTCTTCTCTATTGGTTTTCCCGCTCGTGTGTGTGTGTGTGTGTGTGCGTATCTCGAATGCCAGACACAAATGTGAGAGCTCGGAAAAATCTCTTGGACAAAGTTTATTTATACACTAACTTTATGCACCGGAAAACCGGCAAAAACGCAACTTGCTTTCTAACGAGAGTTTATGCGCGAACTTTCCGCGTGACATTTTTCGCAAAATTCGCGGAAAGTTGTTCGAACACACACGTGCAACTGAAGATGTTAAATCCGTGGCAATTACGTTGTGACAGTTATTCGAGACAAGTGAGATCGCAGGTGTGAAATAGAATTGAAATATATAACAAAGATCAATAATCTCATCTACTTTATATAATATGAGAAAACATTTAAATTTTACGTTCGAATTTATTTTAAATATTCACGAGTAATACTGCTATTATTTGCTTTTTATTTACTCGAATATGCATAGTGTCATTCCGGCGTGATCCGCGAAACGAGAACTTTACCGACCCTCTTTTCCTTCCTTCGAGGAGAACGCTATTCTTACCTCCACGTGATCTTCATTCTCTAATTAGTACTTCGCGAAAGCCATTACCCACCTAAAATTTTCGTTAAACCCACTCCGACTGACTACGGCTGAATTAGAATTGCGCGAATAAAGACTATATCGTCCATTGGCTTGTGCCGGCTAAGTATTCGTTTTTATATCTCTCTCCGCGTATAATTTTACTAATTAATTAACTAATTGCTTCGGTCTCTCGCAGAAGGATTCTTCTTCAGACCGTCTGAAGTGTGGCGGCGCATAAAGGGAGAGATAGAGAAAACTCCGGTATAATAAAAAAAAAGAAGTAGAAATTCACTTAATTTTCTTTTCTTAGCTCGCTAACGAGGTTAATAGATTAAGTAACTCGGTCATCGTCATTCAACATTCTCAGATCGCTATTTTTTTCGCAATTTGTATGTAAATATCGAACACGTTTTTTTTTTTTTTTTTTACACAATTACCAATATTTTCTTTATATTAGCTTTTTTCAATATTGTCATGTCTTCTGTCATATTATACCATATATAACATACTTTCTTAAGTAGAATCAGTGCGTTGCACTGAAAATCAGTAGGTATTTACTGATTCAGTAGTTACACGTCTTCCACCGAGTCAAATATTTACTGATTTTACTTAAGAGAGTATATTTCTTGACAAACATAAATTTTAAATAATAAACGTAGATAATAATAAACATAAATTTTGTCAGATAAATATAATTAATATTATTTTGTACATAAATAACTTTTTGTCGTTATTGCGCGCGTCTTTTATTACGAAAGTCCTAAACAAGTATAAATTTATACCGGGCAAGCTGAATTTTATCGTAAATAAAACAGGCACGTTTAATTGTATTTTTAGCATCGGTGACCTGACTCAACGTTTCCACAAAAATATCTCAGACAGCATATGTGCAATAACAGATACACGTATATTTCCGTTAATGATACTTTTCAACGGGAAACCGAATATCTGCCGACCGGTCCAGATGTTAGCGCCCATTATTAATGTGCGCCGCGTTAAAAATTACAAAACTGTCGCGCGTCACTTACGGTGACTTATAGAGAATTATTTAAGTACTTGTTATCACACGGAGGTCACTCGCGAAACGGTCGGGCGAAATTTCGCAGCCGCTTTTCTAACACACACACACACAGCTATATACTTATTCATAAATTACTCCCGTAAGTACGCTATAAAAACACCGTTTACGTGATCCCCTTTAATAAAATCTAAAGTATAAGAATATATATCATCGGCTTTTAGTTAGCAGTTTTAACTAGCTGTTAATATTGTGAACAAATAAAAGTCATCTCTCTTAAAGTTTGCACGTGCGCACAATATTTCGATTCTTTTCAATTAATTTATTTTTCACAGAATGTGAAAAAAACATACATAAAGTGCAAAACATACATCGAGAAGATGTACAAAACACACAACAAGAACAAACATCAGTCACGTTTCAAAAACAAGATTATGTGCTGTGTCAAGTTGTTGAATAATTGCTTGGACATTTACATCAACGACCTTGGCTAATTAGCTTCGATTAACACACACACTTCCAATTTGACCATTTGTATTGAAAAAGACCTAATTAGGTCGAAACGTTTACATACTTGGATAATAATAAAAAAAATTGTTGCAACACACCACTAGCCAGCGTTTCGTGCTCCCATTGCCCATACAGAGCAAACACTTCATTAGAAATCTATTAGATATGGAACTGTTGATGTCTAATGGACATCTAATGGAGTTCTTGTTCTGTGTGAAGGTTGGCTTCTCTACTCTCCACTTGTTTATAAAAAAAAAAAAAAAAATGTACATTTGTCGCACATTTGTCGCTCTATCTGAGATACGATAAATGTTTAATACGTGTAATCTAATCTAAGTCTAGATTTTTGTTTATCATGAAGAATATAACTTCTTTACTTATGTTTGACGGAAAGCCGTTTAATGTGAATTAAACCAGGTGTAAAACAGGAACGATCTTTGCGGAAATTCGCTGGATACGGGAAAATTGTGACGAGCTTAATTGACACATTAACGACGTCCGACACTTTAATGAAAGAATCGATCGGCAGTCAGCGTTCTCAAACGCTATCCGTAAAAATTCGAATTACCTTGTATCCGGCGAGATCCTGAACCACGCAGGCAAGAACGGCCTCTCTTCCCACGGCGAAGGTTACGTTTTGTATTGGCTCTTTGAAATTGGGATCTGAAAGAAAAATATCAAATATAGAATTTTTTTCACGACATTGTCGAGAAATATAAAATATACTATAAAGAATACGACGATACTTTTTTATTCGTAAAAAGCTTAATACTGTTCTTCTTTAATACTGTGACATTTAAGAACGACCATCTAAAATACTTGTTGGGTTTGTTGTAAATGCTCTTTCTATGAACATAGAACTTTTGTAACACTACTTTTCAGGTGGTATTTAAATATCATCTACAGAGCGCATAGTTTTTGCAAACCCTTTTAAAGTGTTACAAACCTTAATACAATCTCTTGTTCGTTTTCAATTTAATTTCGAGTAAAAATAATAAGAGCAACTAATCAAATCAATTTTATCAGTATATATTTCTCTCGAATTTATTTAGCTGTTTTATTCACAACAAATAGAGCTGTCACTAAAGTCTTTGTTTACTTTTGTTTCGCATATATGTATGTACATTAATTAAATCGTATATTGTTTTTTTTTCTTACGAGATGTACATATATATATATATATATACATACATATAGTTTATTTTTATATAGTTTATTTTCACCGTTCGCGTTTTAAGTAAATTGTTTTAAATAATATTATTTTCGAATTGGAATATTGATTCTTTTTTTATACGATTTTTAGTTTTAGAAAATACTAAATTAAAATTGTGACACACATTCTTATTTGACAATCGCGCAATCTAAATGTTACGAGAGGATTATGAATGACATATGAAACAAAAAAATATAGTAGTTTTTATTTTAAAGTGAAGATAGCGATAATATTACGGTAGAAAAGAAGACCATAGAGAGATTATATTTAATGATATAAAATATAAGTAAAAGGGAAAAAAGGGTAACTGCGGAGAAAATGGCTACCAGCGTAGCGTGGAAGATAAATGCACGTTTGGATTGCCCTTTGCAGTTTTCACCCCTCTCTTCTTTTCGGCAATCTAATACAATATTATTGGACGCACTCGATGTAGCACCAAATGCGATTATTTGGCTCACCCCCCCCCCCCCAGGCTGGCTCGGTAAAAAAGCGAAAATGTCAGTCGCAGAACGTAAGTATATGTGCTTACAACACATACGTAAACACACGTAAAAACACGGTAAATGGTAAATTTCTCATTTGCACAAAGAGGAACAGAGATCAAGATCATCGCTGCGCAATATACTGATATTTCAGAGCAATCTAGACAGCGCGGTCCGAAATGTATACGTTAGTCGTAGGCAATTTCGTGACTTCGGCAGTCACCGGACGACCTCCGATCAAATATACGGGAGAACATTGACCATTTACCGCTGACCATTTGTAACGTCGGATGTTAACGAGACGCGTATATATATCGCAGCGGATATAATTCACGTGCCATACGCTTATAACAATACGCATCTACATAAATTTCCAATTACGAATTTTGCGCCCAAAGCATTCTTTATTTTTTCAATAGAAAGTTTATCAATAGGAAATTCTGCAGAATGCAATAACACAAATCGAATTTTATGGCAAATTTGCCAAAAAAAAAAAAAAAGAAAAAAACCGAAATTGATTTTTATTGGACAAACTTTTTTTACATTGATGTTATTCGAGCGAAATAAAATGGTTAACTTGAATGTTACCGTGTCATATCCGTAAAAAGATATTGAATTAAATTCCTCCCCGCGATATTGATATCAAAACTGACACACGCGGGTGGATACACAAAAAAGGATGCGGAGAGAGAGAAAGAGAGAGAGAGAGAGAGGGAGACAATCGGCGCAAATGCGCTCGATTAAAACGAATCCGGTGAAGTACGTGATACTCCAATATGTATCCTCCAATATCATCGCTTTTCCTCGCAATATATAACGGGGGAATTGTAAATAAAATACAAGCCCTCCCGTTGCCGCCACAAAAGCGTCATCTGTTTCTCCATTAACGATAAACGCAAAAAACGTCAGCATCGATCAACCATCATCGACAAGGACATTCGCCGGCATTGGTGTATAAACGCGTCGATATCGCTGCGAAATTATTCCGGCGACTGCATTACGATATTGTCCATCAAATCTCGGCCGAGTCAACGTAGACGGGCGCCGCGCATACAACGCACGCCCAACAGGGGCCAGTGAAAACGGCAAACGTGGCCTTCTATCCACGTGCGCGCGCGAACGAGACCCATTAAAAGGTCAACATCGATCAAGAGCCAAAAATGCCCCACGGAGATTGTTTGCGAGGGACGTAAACCAGACAGGGGCGGCGGATCGAGCCGACACACAGGGTTGGTCGCGAACATAACCGTAGATGGTTCCGTAATGGGAGCATAAGGGAACCATAATTCCGGCTAGCGTGCCCGTTCGCCGACGGGCCGCGGGCTGTGGTGGCCCTCGCGGGAAATTCAGCCGTATCAGGGCTTTCGCTTCGCGGTCGGCTTTGATGGATCGGACTTACTCGGAGAATGGCCATTCCCATTCCGGGTTCCGCCGAGAAGAGAGCGAGCACATATAATACGCGAAGGGGGAGTTTTTGGGGGTGGCGAACAATGAGCGCGCCGCGCCGGAACGGTCTTCAAATGACGAATAGCCTCTCTTTCCTCGTCGCGCAACCTTTGATACTTTCATTTCGCGCAACGATGTATATCGCGAGGACTAAAAACTTCGATTTCGCTTCTGCGAAATCTTTCACAGCCCGCGTGATTAATTGAGCAAAATTGCGGATCGCGGGTGAGAAATCCATTTCGACCGCGACGGAGCGATTAAATACACACGGCGGGAACACGCAGCATTCTTGAATGCAGTCGTGCCGCACGACGAAGTGACGCGTTCTATGCAGTCTCTCGCTATTTAATCAGAAAGCTCTCAGCTGAACAAGTAATTAATGGCCGGAAATGCAGTACGTAATTGGCTGTCTTCGAGACTCGCGGCGGCGACGCGATATTTATTCTCAGATGTTGGAATTCAATACGCGTAAGAGTGCATGTATATACAAACAAGCAAATATAATTACTAATTTGTTGCTTGTGAGAACCGTTAGCTTCGTAGATATTTTTCGCGCGTGTTGTTCAATTTCTCACATTGTCGTCGAATTTGCGATTTACTTGCGAATTTTTATTTTTTTTTCTTTTTTCACAAAAAGTCGCTTCTTATATAAAGCGACTTTTTTTTTTTATTCACGACACTTTCGTCGCAATCGCATCGCGAATCATCACATCTTCACGATAACGATCGACGACGCGAGAAAAGAAAACGTCAGTCGAGAGAGTCGTAAATTTTATCTAGAGAGAAGAAGATGCGCGCGTCACACTCTCTCGTGCCGTCTTTCAATTAGCTTCGAAGAAGACAAAAATGCGTCTTCGCGACTATTCGAACAGTTTTATATGCGTTTCTCGCAGCCTCGCGCGTTTTCCGCGCGCATTGTGACGCTTTAAGTTACATTCGGCGAAGCGTATGTAAGTAATCAAATAGTCAACCATTTTGAAAAAAAAAAAAAAAAAAAAAAAA